GCACTGTATGTAAATTAATTATCTGCCTTAATAGGAAGACACGTAATTGCGCACGTGTTGGGGAATGGCCTGCGATTTGCTATGAATAAAGCTAATTGGAAAACATATAAGTGGCGTTTCCTTTGGCAATGACCCTTGATGTGCTTTGAAGAATATCGATTGCCCGAAACGTCGGCTATTTTATAGATTTCCTTTAAAGCCTGTGTTGTTAACAAGTGCATTGACGTTTGTTGTTGTTGTTAATTGCATATGAAGACTATGTAAGTATGTATACCGGCTCCCCACCCCACACCCCCACTCTCCAACCCATACGCGCGCGCAGCTGAACTGCAGAGCGATGCTGCTGTGCGGATCCCTCCTCGTTGGCCTCGCCGTCTTTCTCGCCTGCTCCGAGGCTGCTCCCTTGGCGCATTCCGTATCCGGCCCAGGAGATGGCGCCATCAGGTAACACGGTGGTTTCTGCACTCATTTTCAGAGAGAGAGAGACCGCTTTCACCGATAAGACATCATGAGTTCGAGGGCCGCCACGCATTTAAAGTCATTGGGGTTTGACGGCCAACACGATGGGGAGGGGGGGTGTTTACACATCTGTGTATTGTCGGGGGATGCACGTCAGGGACCGCCAGTGGCCCACCGGCCTTGCAAATGAAGAACACTGAAGTCGATCATCATGATGATGATCATCATGATCATCATGATGATCATCATCATGATGATCATCATCACCATCGTCGTCGTCACCGCCACCTGCGGGGCCCAGGTCCACTCGGCGGAGGTCCGCAAGGCCTCTAGAAGTGGCATTTGAGTTGTGATCCAGATGCTACGATTTAGAGGCACCGCCGTTTTACTTTTGTAAAATATATTGTCTCGCTGCACGGCGCTCCGCGAGTTTGACTTGGGGCTTGACAGCTGACAGTGGGGTCCGTGGATTCCCGAATGCTTGGGAACTGCTGGTCCGAGAGTAATGCCGCGTAGCAATTTGGTCCGGATGGTGGATCCATTATGGCACGTACAGCTCTCTCATACAATAACCAGTTACAGAACGCCGTGTCGGTCATGGCGGTTGTATTACCATACTTCACCACGCTGGACAATACCTGTTGGTAAATGGGAGCGGTGGCAGTGAGGGGGGTGGGGGGGGTAAGTGCAGCCCAAAACTGCGGTGGCACTTGCCACGGATATGTTAGCTGTGGCCGGGAATTGAACTCGCCTTGTACCGGGTTGGTCGTCCAGTGCGCTAACCACTGCGCCACCGCTCCCTCGCCAAATACAATGTCACGGGTGAAAAATATTATTACATCGGGATGTCTTTAGAGTGGCCGTGAGCCGCTTAGACGACATGCGCTGGGCTGCGTGGTAACTGACCATGGTGCTAAAAATCTATCTCCACTCAGTGCGTATGAGCTGTATGCGTTGCTATTAGGACAGAAAAAGGATTTAATTCACGTGTAGGCTGTGCATTTAGAATTCCCCGCTTATATTATTATTATCAGTGCGCGCGTGTTGTGTGCGGTAAATCCAACATAATGTAGAAATAATAAGTGATGATTTACACCCACGTCACAGCCCATTACCGGGTGTGGAACTCCCCACGCTGTCCACTTCACGGGGTTGTTGGTTGTTTGCGTGCTGCGGCCAGTGGATGTGGCTGCCCAGCACTGCTGCGGATATGACTCGCCCACCGATGTTTGCCGCTGTGGCTTCAGAATCTCACTCAGATGTCCGGCTTTATTAGCACAGTTTGTCGTGCGCCACGATTCCAGCACTCAATCAACCATTGTATAACGAGCAGAGGTTTAGGTTACACGTTGCGAAGTGTGACTGAATACAAATTCTCAAAACGTGAATGTTTGCAATGCACTTTCGTTTCCGAGAAAGAGGCGGTTAATGATAATTACGGTGGCGCTCCTTGGCCCATGACAAGTCGCCCGGAACGCTCCCGATCTCGTCACATCTCGTCAGATCTGGCAAGCTAAGCAGTTTTTGAGCCTGAATTGGTCGCTTGTATGGGCGAACGCCACGCACGGGGCTGTAACATACACACGGCTGTAGAGCTTACGTATGTTGGACTTCTTTCGCACCGTACGTCGCCAACCGTGCTAATAGGTTGCTGGGGTGGGCAGCAGAGGACAGTTCAGCACAATCCACGCTTCCACGGCTATGTTCGTCGCCTCCTGGACGATACAATAACCCCTACGGCCCTCGGAGCGTTGGGAGAGGCGAATCATCCAGCAGTGGAGTAACACGTGCATTTTACGTCGTGACGCATTAACCCGAATTAAATCTCTCGACCCCCCCACACCCCCTCTCCAAACCCTCTTCTTCCACCTCCCACCTCACTCGTTGCCCCACGCGTGTGTCGGCGCAGCAAGCGCTCGGTGGCCGAGCAACAGTTCATGAACGACAAGGGACGAATGCTCAAGGAGATGGGCCGCCGCCTCTGGATGCACTCGATGGTCAGCGAGGTGCACACGGCACCGCGAGGCAGGGACGGAGGGATGCCGCCACGGGCCTCGCTGAGCGGGGTGCGCGCCGGTTCCCGCGTGGCCCTACACAGAACCCTGCGCCACGTGGACCCTGCAGCTGCAGCAGCATCTCACGGCCTGCGTCAGCCAGGGTCCTCGCTCGCTCACCACCTCGACGAGGGCCCCGTGGATGATGGGACGATTCCCTGAGACCGAACGAGCGCGTGCGCGGCCGCTCTCCCTTCCCAGCTAATAACGAGCCCCCCCCCCCTCCCACCGCCGCCTCTGGCGAGCTTATCTGGATACGGTAATAGGATCACACTTCCAAGTTCGCCTGTGCGTTTTCAGGTTGTACCGAGCGCTATTCGGCATGGTGACTGACGTTTCGCTGCACATGCTGGATGATTATTCTTGGAACTTCATACAGTCAGGTCACGAAGAAGCTCCCAGCACGTGCAGCAACACGTCAGACTAAAGGCTGCGCCACACGTGGTACAACCTCAAAATACATTGGGGAGTGATACGGAACAACCACGCAACCCTAAGAAGCACATTATAATATATTCCCATTACATGAGCACGTAACCGGAACATGTAATCAATTTATATGGCAGGGTAATAGAGATTTAGCATTTGGCAAACTTTAAGGTTTATTAAAATGTGTTTAATTAGGAAACTGCTGTACGAGTCAGCCGTCTACATAATACAGTAACTCTGTCATGATCATAATATTAAGTCACCTATTTATCCAAGAAAGCCTCGAGTCTTAATTGTTTTAGGATGGTTCACTTGGTATATTTGGCTAAATTCTAAAGCTAATTATTTCAATTACCGTTTAATAACATATTATTTTGGATGAATCGTCGCACTTTTAATTATGTAATCCTTTCTGATGTTTCTTTAGCATTAATCTGGCTTCATGTATGTGCATCCACCCTGTATGAACCACTCGCACACAATCCATCCCCCTTTTGAGTGTTCAAAAGCGGATCTCGATTGCATAGTGGCGTGCTTTCATCATTATCCTCGGACATACACTTGGATCCAATCCCAAAAAGTGTGCTCATGAGAGTGGCGTAGCCTGGCTGGAAAGGGCCCTGGTAAAAACAATGGAATGGCGCGGGGGGGGGGACAATCAAATCCCATCTATTCATCGGCCACAATATCCTGGGGCCTTTCTGGCCTGTGAACCCCCAGCGCAAGTCGCAGACTACCTGCACACTAACGGTTACGCCATTGATCGTGATATATCCAATCAATATAACGAAACATTTTATAGCTTTAAGGCAGGGGCGGGTATCCTTTTTTCTGCCAAGGGCCATTTGGATATTTATAAAATCATTCGCGGGCCATACAAAATGATCAACTAAAAAATAAGCCTGTTATATTTGGTCAAACATTTAATTAACTCACTCCTAATGAGATGGCTGGAACTGCTTCTCTTTGGTGAGGCGTGTGATGTTAGCTGGTATTGATGATGTTGCTACTCGCAACTGATTTTCCAGGTTTGCTCCTAGATTGATTGAATTTCGAGTCCCGCCTGCGGTTGCCTTGGCAGGGCCAGACCAAATTATTTCGCGGGCCTCCGACGGCCCGCTGGCCGGATGTTCCCCACCCCTGCTTTAAGGTTTTACTAGCAAGAACAATCCTGCCAATATAAAAGATTGGAAACCAGCTAACGCAGAACAGTAATGACATGAAAATATGTATACAACTAATGCACTATGTCTACAATGATGAGCTAATGTTATATGGAATGTATTTATTTGTATTCTTTCTACATCTTTAAGTTAAGACTGTATTACATTAAGTGATATCAACTGCTACTAAGTAATTATTTACACTTTGAGTTTTGACATATAACTGTAAAGGAGCATTTGCCTAAAATATTGTATTTTTAAATATATTTTAACCATTTCAATAATGACATTTTGAAATACCACGTCCTTACATTCTTTGGTGTTCACACAATAACTTTCATTTATATGAAAATAGGTATTCATACACCCCGGGGCTTCATTATAGAATAAAAAAATAACAGTGCATTGCAAATATATATTTTTTAATCCATGAAATGATCCCATATACACAGTTTGGCCTTAAGTTCAAATTCTTTCGGTAAGAATTTTTGAAGGAAGTTCCTTTAAATATATGAATGAATTCACAGTATAATTATATTTTTCAGGTTGAGTCACATGTTCTCGGTGAATTCATAAGCCGTGTCCTGAGTGACTCAGAAAACACATTTGACTCAGTGTGCCATGTCTGCTGAGCTGTGTTGAGCAAAACTCTCAACTGGAAACTTGTGGAATGTTACCGTCTTTTAAGTAAGCACTTATATACACAGGGTTTTGCTGTCGGAGCAAGAAATGTTCAAGCTCATACGGTGTACAATGTAATACGCAAAGTAGTATTAGCATCACGTTAAGATATTAGAACATCGTATAAACATTTTATGAAACGTAATGCTTGGATTGCATTGTTTTAGTTATGGAATGCATTAAAACATTTTCCCTATGAATCAAGTTGAGCATATATTTGAATGTTTGGACTTTTATTTTCACATTATAGTTGTATCCTAAAATAATGCATTTTATAAAATGGGAATCCAGAGCATACATTATATTGGTTGCAGCAAGATGGAATGGAATATTTTATGTAAACAAAAAGGTTGCTCATCTTTATAAAAATATTTGTAGTTTGCAAATAGGCAAAATATATTTACAAACTTTCTAAAAGTCAAAATGCATATGAACACCAAACCATTTAGATTTAAGCATCACTATATTGTTTAGAGAATGTTAATGGATTTTCTATGAGAATCACCTGGAACGTGACCCGTCTCGTAAAATCTCAGAAGCCAAGCAGGAATTTAAGCCAGGCTAAAACTTGGATGGGCAATCACCCAGGACGCTAGGATGTCTGCTGCTTTTGACATGGTCGAGCATGACATCCTCATCGACCGTTTTCACACTGCGTTTGGAGTTGGATTTGTACGGTCGTGGATTGACTCTTTAATCTGGCAGAGGATGCAGACGTCGCCTTCCCTGGTCAGGAATCAACCACGTCAGCAGTCCATTGCGGAGTGCCACGAGGAAGTGGGTCTCGAACTTTCTACTTTCAACGGCTGACATGACAACCATCGCTGAGCAACAAAGTCTTGGCATACACAGATATGCTGATGACACCCAGCTTTGTATATATGTAGAACGTATTCTTCACCTTCTTTGGTTCTTTCGGTAAAGTCACGTAGAATGAGAATAAAATAATAAATTGATAAAATAAAATAACACAATAATATTCTCACGACGTTTCGGCCACAACACAAGCGGCCTTCATCAGGTGAAGGGGGCGAGACTGTCTGGTAGGACAGCGCTGGAGTATTCTTCACCGTACGTAGCCAACCGTGCTAATCGATGGTGCGATTACTTTCATAATAAAGCTGCTTCATGTGTTGCATCGTGATCGCGCCTCAGCTCCTACATAAATCCGCACGCATTCATTCATCACGAGTCGTGTTTGACTATTGTAAATGTCTTCGGCTGCGCCAGTGCCATCCCATCTATGTCCACTCCAGTCTGTCCTAAACGCAGCAGGGCGTCTGATAGTGCAGAAGCTGAGGGTATGACCACATCACACTGACCACTCGTGATGACCTGCACTGGCTGCCAATTAAATAAAACATTGATTACAAACTGTTGCATATTGGTGTACAAGTGTCTACGCCAATCTGCTCCGTGCTGATGGACGCGTGTGTCGTCCATCAGCACGAAGCATTTGTCAGCTCACGCCAACCTGGTCATTCCGCGCTCTCAGAGAGCGAGATTTGGACCTCGTGGCTTTGCGGTCCATTGACCTGAAATGGACTACAGCTGCACGTTCGAGACTCTTCAACAGTTCAGTAGAAAATGCAAGACAGAACATGTTTAATAGAGCTTGCAACGTATGCTTTCTGCACACTCGTGATAACCTAGGTTATAGGAGTTGTGACGATAAATACCCATGCTTAATGTAATATAGGTGGCTGCGGAGCTGTACTACATTCTGGTCAACAGAGGGCAGTGTAGAAACATCCTTGAAACTGTGACTATTCTTCCACATCTGTGCTCCGTTGCTTAACAAACTCGCACTGAGCAACAAGGTGAAGTAGGGTCAAATAACCACGATGACCCGCAACGCTGTAGGGAGACCATCATCCAGGAAGTGCAATGACAAACGGGATATACATGTTCAAGTTGATGGGTTATAAATCGAAAGTTTTATCTGGAAGAATCTAAGTTATTCGAGCTTTTTGAACTAGCTCATCTCCGAGCCTTCTCTGGTGGCCAGATATCTGCGCTGGTCCTTCAATGCTTGCTCCAGGGCAGGGAGGTCCACGCCATCCACACACTGCACTACACGTGCCTTCAACAGAGGGCGCTCCTCATCTACAAAAAAACAAAAGCACAATAGCAAAGGGCACACATAGCAGTCTTTACACGTGTATTGTCGTACTCCTAGACATCAGCCACATTTCAGATACCATAACATTTATAAGCGAATTAATTAGCCCCATAAAAGCCATGAGTGGCACCACTGTTTTACAAGTGGGTGGGCTAACTGACTTTGGGTGGGTAGGGAGGAGCAGGCAACACTGCAGATGTTAAGAAAATATCCTTCATGTAGGTGCTGTAGCCAATTGGCAGGGCCGTCTATCGGGGGGTGCGGGGGGCCGAGGCAAATCCCACTGTGTGCCCCCCCCCCCCCACGCCTTTAAACTAAACCAGAAGTATTACATCTGACACCGTGACGTCAAAGCGCAGGGCCCCCCAAAGCACAGGGCCTGGGGCAGTCGCCCCAATTCGCCGTACCCTAGGGACGGCTCTGCCGATGGGACAGGACACGAGGCTCCTTGGTTTAACATTTGACTCAAGGTTTTATTCTATACCTAATATTTGGTGGATTTTCCCCTCTGCTCTCCACTGTCACTGTTTTTTTTATTCAACGTACTATACATTATTTAACAGAAAAAAGTATGCGTTAATAATAAATTTGAATTTACCAGGAAAAAGTACACGTTAATAATGCAAACATTTTATTGATAAAATTAATTCACTCATACGTCCATTTAAAACAGGGATTTTTATCATGGGACCTTTTTGCCAGTATCAAAGAAGGCTGTCTCTGGTGGTCCAATCACTTAAAAAAACAATGCATATATTAATTATCAGAGCATGTTTGTTTGCATGTTCACCACAAGTACTGTGTGTGGTTAATGCAGACTTGATTCCTTGCAAAAGGTTACTATTTGGTGTTTGAACACCTTAATACCGCCTGTTCTATTGCCAGAAAGGGTAAAACCTACTTTTATTTTTCATAGGGATTTTTAGTTGGCGAGATATTTAAAGTATATTGTTTGCTCTCCCAGTCTGCCCAGTTGGGGGGGGGGGGGGGAAAGCCCTTCTGCTCCAATTGTGGTGCTGCCTGTGCCATGCTCAAATATATTCCGATTTAGTTTTGTGCTCTGTGAAGTCCACGTGTCCGTGTCTATTCGATGACAAGCTGTCACGTCAATGTAGTACTGGATTTAAGCAACGGTACATTTTGAAGGCGTTTACTGTGAGTCATCAACAGACAGGGTTTGCAGTGCAGGCCACCGGGTCACCTGTGAGCCTCTCGATCTCCCCGAGGAACAGGTAGAGCCCTCCCATGCGGGTGGTGAAGGGCTCGATGAGCGACGTGTCTACCCACAGCTTGTGATACTCGGTCCCATTCACCATCGTGATTCTCGCCCGCGAAAGAACCGCATCGTACAGGACCATCCTACGGTTATGGACAACACAATGTGAACATCATTTGCCACTGAAGTTGCATTATGCACTGCTGAACAATAACCACTGCCGTGACACATTGCACCATTTACATAACATCATGTACCATTGACGGAAGACCACCGACTTTAGACCGCATACAACTGGCATACCACCATGCAACAATAACTTTGGGCGGAGCAGTTAGGTCACTGTGCTATAACCTAGCAGTCCTGAGTTTGATTCCCAGGCATGGCTGTCATCAGTGACGAGTGATATTTAAAATGCTCCTGGGCTCCGCACCACGTTAAAAAAACCCACACTTACCGGTGTGGTAATGACATATCGTCAAACAACCCTTCGTGACACACATGGCGTGAGGAGACCTTGATTCATTTGTGGAATGGCAAAGGACTGCAAATTATTATAAAAAACAGAGCAATTTCTATTTGTGAAACATTCTGAAGCACACTATGGCTTCCAGTTTCGGCTCGGTGCAGCGTACCTTCCGATGGTGCGCACACTCTGCACCTCGCCGTCAGTAGGCCCTCCTCCTTCCAGCTCCCACAGAAAGCGGAAAATACCTGGCCTAGGTAGAGCTCGGTTAAACCTGGTCGCCATGGCTACGGAGAAAATATAAATACGGGAACAAATTATGTAAAAAATCAAGCATGTGCATGGATTATGTAATGCTTTATAACATTCCTACCTCTTCAGAATAGTTTAATTAGTAGCATTGAAGCCACTAGGCAGCTTTCAAGGCAACATACTTTTACATATTTGCAGATACAGCAAGTCCTCGCTTAACGCGGAGGTTGCGTTCCTGAAAATTGCCGCGTAGAGCGAATTCGCGTTAAGCGGGATTAGTTTTCCCATAAGGATTAATGGTGAAGGTGGGGGTGCCGTTCCAGGCCGTAATTTTGTTGTTCATAATTTGACAGTAAACTTTTTCCATGCTTGTTGTATTTATATAAATATGCTATGCGTGACAGTCATTTATTTATATAAAAAGTGTGCGAGAGAGAGACATGGTGAGTGAAAAAGATAAGGGAGTGAGATTACGCTATGCACACAAAGATGCACGGAACAAAGATTGATGAAGAGGGCACACCGTGTGTCACAGCTCGCATCAGTAGTCAGTACCAGCTCCCAGCATCACAAAACAACGCTACCAACACCCACCCTGCTCAGAAAAGTAGTCCGTCACGTGTTAGACTCGTGTTAAATCGGGCACGTGCTGCGTGTTAAGCAAAAAACTTCTTTAAAAGAAAAACCGCGTTAAGGCTAAAACAAAGTGTGAATGCACGTTGAATGGGGATTTACTTTAGTATTTTTTTGCTCTGGTTTGTGTCTACAAAATTTGGGCAACATTTTGATCAACAAGTGGATTTCAACATGCTAAATCCCAAATAGCAACACAACGTTATGAACACAGTTTGGTTCAAATTTGATCAACTAAAGCAGTTATCCTGCCTGCACATTACAGACGATCGGACAAAGTTAATGCATACATGCTTTCAACCTTAGCTGGAAATATTTTAAAAGTAAAAGTGTTTTCCCATGGCTTAAATGATTGTGGGGAGGTGATAAGCTCATCTTTATTCCAGAGTCAGTTGTGGAAGTTCCATATACCTATGGCAAGGAGCAGTGAATAATTACCTATTTAGAATATAAACCACCATTATAAAATAAGAAGTCCTCAATAAACCTAAGTTTATGGTAGTTGCATGATGAAGGAACTGTACAGATCAGGGGCCGGAAACCAAAATAACAAGAGACAATTTTTAGAATTCGGTAAAAAACCCTCAATATTTCAAGAGCCACAATGCATGTGAATAACGTCATGAATCAGCTCCTCAAAGAGCCGCATGTGGCTCTGGTACAGTTTATTTAGAACAGTTTATTTAGAATTGCCCTGTGAGCTAAGAAGCTCTTGAATCGGGTTTCATCAACAAAACAGAAAAACTGTAAAATTAGAAACACGTTTGCAACAAGTCGCATAAAAAATATAAATACAATAAATACAGAAATGAAAAAAGTCAATAAATATTTGTTTACAATATATTACTTAATTATAAATAAAATATTTAACTAAACTAAAAATTAAGATTGGAGACGCAGGTTACCAACCCTTGCGACAGATTAATGGTGCACACAATAAAAACTCAGCAACATTTTAAGTAACCTCTAGTTAAAATCAGCTTTTACTAAAAATGTGTTGACTTTTTAAGGGTTTTGTTTCCAATCAATGAATACGAATGGAAAACTGTTCATGTAATTTAAAAACTATTCAAGTCAACTATATGTCAAACAGTTTTCTCAGGGCACCATAGTGTGATTCCCACCCGTATGTCAAGAAGTCTCTACTGTAAATAAGGGCCATTGCCAAACACATCAGCCTTTGTATTTTTTATATTTAAAGCCCACTGTGAATGTGGCGAGTCTTTCAGAATAGGTATTATGAGCGCACTGCATTATTTTGAGAAAAATACCATTCAGATTATGTACAGTAGCACCCTATATCTATACTCCAAAGAAGGACCAGTACCCGAAACATTCCTTTACATGTCTGCTAGTAAACAGAAACGTTAATGATAAATGTGGCGAGCGTTTTCTTCAATGGCTCTTGTTCTTCCACACTGCACACCGAGATGAGGGACTGACTGCCCAGTTGCCCCACAAAGATAACAAAAATCGCAGTTCGCCAATAACTGGCAGTGACGTCACCACAGCGCTTGTGCCATGCTAGGTGCACTTTGAGGTCACGTGAAGTGGTGAAGGCCCACTGGCAGGTCACGAAACAGACCCAGGTGCCATGAGTTGACCGAGATGACCGGTAGATTCACCACCTGTGCTCCCCCCCGTGCCATATTTCTGCGTTTTAGTCACCCGGCGCTCTGCAAGTTATTGTGAGCATCATTCCTCTGCCCTCCGTTGTTGTTGGACGGCTGCCTCCAATTCCCTAGTAGGGTCCTTCACGAACCTCCTCCAGAGGCCGATCCTGACACCGCTGGCAAAGGCCATCGGTAGGTCAACTCGGCTCCACATCCTTCTTCATTTAATTTCATTTATTTGGTATAGCCCTGTGAGCCATTCGGCTCTTGAATCGGGTGCAACCGCAACAAACGAAAATATGTACAAGTGACTATGTGCCGCATCAGCTCCATCTCTCCACAGGCACCCGTGCAAGCGGCATTCAAACGCACTCCACGAATTGGCGTGAGGGCCTTGCGTGCAAGCGGACAAAACGGTAGGTTTAATGCCCCTTATAAAACTCGTAAATATTGTGTCAACGTATCTAACGGACGCGTAGTGAGTCACTGTGACGAGTGGCTTGTTGACATTACTTCTGGTGGCACTTGGCCAATGTTGTAAATTACACATTCCCACGGCGTGACCTGGCGTGACCTTACTCAAATTGGCCAACGATTTTGTCATTGTGGAACTCGTTGGGAAAGAGAAACAAAAATGTTGACGGCCCTGAGCTAAGTGGTGGCAATTCCACGTTCACATGCCAAGCTCACACACCGAATTAAAAAAATTCCGTCAGCCACCCAATTGCGGTGGAAATTCCACGTTGCCGAAATTCCTTAAACACGAGTCGGCGGTCATCAACCCTCCAGCGCACCGTTCTCCGCGTCCTCGTCTCGCCCAGGTTAAACACGACCACAACAAACGCCGCCGTCACACTACACGACACGCAACTCTCTCCCCGGTGTTAAACACGAAACGTTGGGCCAAACGCTGGCACGGCGTTCCATGGACCGGTGCGCATCGTCCGGGTGGCATCGCAGTACGTGCGGAGAATGGCACGACGACATCAAAGCGATTCGGTGCGAGAAAGATGCGAGAAGGCACGACTTTGGGCATGTTGGCACACGGCAAAAAGGAAAAGTATAGACAAACGACGAAACGTGCAGTGAGGAGGGGGTGGCGGAGACCACCTTCCGGGATCGCGACAACGAACGACGTTTAGAGCCAACGGCATTCATTACACATCGCAGGGCTCGTGAGAGACGGTGGAGATTTTTAGTCCAGCAGTGGAGCGACCGTGAACGCCTCCGCGGCCGCCGGCTTTGAGGCTCCCAAAATTGTGGGGCGCGCGCGATCCGACGATTTGAATCCGTAGTCCGCACAGGCAGCCCCACGTAGCACGGCGTAACGAGGTGGTGGTGAGGAGGGGGGGGGAACAGAGCTGCCTATGCGGTGTATTAATTACAACTATGACGTCACGGCATGCCAAACCCCGCCCCTCCCCCGCAGAATTATAGTTAATTCGTCGCCGCGCGACTCAAATAAATAAATAAATCGAACTACTTCTATTTCGTAGTCCGCTTGCGCGCGCGTCAAACGTTCGGGCCAACGGGCGCGCGGCATTTTCGAGCGCGCGACGCGCTCTCGGCCAATGGGAAGCGGGCCAGTTGTTGTCAGGGGGGGCGGGGCGGTGGGGCGTGTTGGTTGTCGGCTATCGACGGAAGCGCTGTGTGAAATCTGAAGGCCTCCGCCGTCGTCGTCGTCCCCCCCCCCCCCGTTGTATTGAGTGGACCGGGAGCTGTTGGTGGTGGTGGTGGTGACGGCGCCCGTGAAACACTGCGACAGAGAGAGACTCACCGCTCCCCCCCCCTCTCTCTCCATCTCTACACCTTTCTTACGAACTCTACACACAGGTATCCCTTACCTGGGACCACCCCCCTCCCCATCTCCCTACGCGGTCCCCGCCGGCCCTTCTTCCCCCTCCCTCCCCTCTCGTTGTGCGAGACTTGCTGTCGCCAGACGAGATGGTGGATGTGTGTGTCCACGGTGTCTCTCGAGTCGCCTGTGTGTGCGTGTGTGTGTGTGGCTAATGTTTGTTACGTGTAGTCGGTTTCGGGACTCCGACCCGCGAAGGCAAGGCCTCGGCGATTATTTGATAAGCCTGTACGTAACTCGTTACAATCGCCGCTGTCCGCAGATACTTTCAGGCATCCACCTCCGGATGAAGGCCTCGCCCGGGACCGTGCTTGGGTCACGGCGATGTTGGGTGATCGTGTGTGTGTGTGTTTGACCATACTTCACCACGCCTGTCAGTGGTGGTTGGGGGGAGATTGGTGACCTGTTAAGCCGTGGCCCGGAATCGAACTGGGCCCCCCTAGTTGGAAGGGGTTCAAAGTGCAGCGCTGTTTGCGCCGCCGCCGCTCCCACACGCACAGCGCGCGTGAGGAGACGATTGTTTAATTGCGATTTAAATACGACTACGGCGGCCTTACGCCAATGTCACTTGCATCGTGTCACCACGGTATCGGAGTCACACGTATGTCGGCCGCGATACATTGTCCGCCGATGTTATGATATCGGTTTTACTTCGCCGCGTCGTTTGATATCCGGCCAAGACGAACGCCAGCGGTCAGCGGCGGTGGCTCAGCCGCCCACCACCCACCCCGGGTCTCACGTAGGTCGTCGTCGTCTCGGCCTTTAATGACTCCTCGTTGCTGAGCGTGATAATAATCATCATCATCATCCGTTCTGGGCAGACCAAAGGTGCGTACGGTCAAGGGATGGTTACATGCTATTCCGTCGTATTTGTGTTATGCTGATGTTATTTGGGAATTGATGGCCACTGGGCAGTTTGCTGTTGAAACGAGAAGAGATTGGGGGGGGGGCCCTGCTGCCAAGGCCCCGGGGAAAGCAAAGCATCATCTCTCAGGAACATATAAAGCACTGCTTGGATACTCAATGGCATTGAAAATTCCACTCCCTCAGCTGTGTGCGAGTGGCGCGGTTGTGAATAGGGTGGCAGAGTTCTAATACCTGGACAGTGTGTTTATGGCCATCTCTGGCTTGGCAGCAGATGTTGACACCACATCATTTGAATGTTCTTACCTTTGCTTCAGCAGCGTAATACGAGTGTGGAAGATGCCTGGCTTGTTGCTTCACACACACATAGCTCGTGGTCTTGTCACAATCATACACTCTGTTCTTTATCCTTGCGAAATGTGGGCTCCTTAACGGGGTAACACCTATGCTCGCCTGAAACATTTAGGCGGGTCTGCTTACGATCCATTATTAGTTTAACCGAAATGGTTGTGTGATTTGGATGTAAGCCCATCATTGAGAACCTCTGGTAAACGAGGTTGTGTCGGCTGGGTCACGCAGCTCTCATCCGTAGCCACGGCACGCCCCACAATACTCTACTGTTTGGCTGAGTGGAGGTGGCTGCACGCACGCAGTGTTGTGGACTGTAGAGCAGATGGGTGGATGTGGTTCAGGAGGACTTGAAATTGAATGGACTTGCTGAAGACAGGATTGAGTGGTGTTAAGTTCTGCCTCTGTGGAGGAGGCTCATGAAGAATGCCACTGGGCAGTTGGAGGTAGCCTCTTTCCAAACAATAGCAGTAGGCAGAGGAGTGACGCTCACAACTATGAGCAGAGTGCCGCGTGGCTAAAACACAGCAAGGAGACAGTAGGGAGGGAGGTTGGTGCATTTGCCATTCACCCCATGAAGTTAATCTGAAATCGGTCTGTGCTGCTGACCTACCAGTGAAATTTTGACACGTCACTTGGCCTCAGAGTGCACTTAGCCTGGCACAATTGCAGTGGTTACGGTGCCACGACTTATTGGTGAATGGCGACTTGGTGTGTGTGTGTTGGTGTTTAATATGTATGGCGGTGTGTATATTGTGTACGTGTATGAACAACATACACGACTGGGCATAATGTATTCATGGTTACTATGTTATATTTTAAAATTGGCATATTTATTAAGGATCAGTTGTTTTCCTGTTGAAAAAGAAAATGTAACGCATTTTGGAGTTTTTTTTTGCTTTGAGTATTTGTTGAAACTGACTTCTCCCGAGAGACACGCTTGCTTTCACCTGTCTATTAAGGGCTTAAATGTATAAATGTATGTGTGTAAGTAGCAATTATTTCTTATGCGCCGTATGTATCCAGGCTCTTGTTAAACGTTGTATGACAGAAAAAAAATGCTTTAAAAGCCTCTTGCATGTAACAATTAACATACCCATATCCTCTCGTAATTGTCTGTAATATATTCCATCCTTTATCTTTTTGTTGCTATCAGTACTGCATGTTCTTTCTCATTACGGTCTCGCGTGTACTGTCCTTTGCACTGTATGTCGTCTGTGTGCGTTTTCCTAAGTACCGGCCATCTAATATGTTGACCGTCTTCGTTTGTTTTTTTCACATTCGACTAAACATTGTTTAGCATGCGTTTGCACGAGTTGGAAATAATTGAATGCGCATGATCATATCTTCTTTGGTTCTTTCGGTAAAGTCACGTAGAAATTTACACATGATCATAATTACGCGCACAATAAAGCCGAATAATTACCCGCATGATGAAGTTCATCAATACTTATTTTTATGGCACTTTCATCCGTACATTTTCTATCAAACCAGTGATGTCCCTAGAGCACTGTAATGGAGCGTTTTGCAAATAAATGTTAAACCTTTGTTTTCACGAAGAAAGCTTCTAACTACTGCCATATAACCTGGGACACACAAAGGAGGCAGATAGCGATAAGATTAGAATTTTGTGAAGTATTCTCTTCGAGAATCGCCCAGTGTGGAGCCATGCTGTTTGTTGAGGATAAGCTCTTTCCTGCCTAACGAAATTGAGATTCAGACTACTTTTGGGAAGTTAATCTTTTGTATTGAAGGCTGCTGTCGTCTCTGCTATAGAATCATGCAAATTATACAGGTTTTCGGGAATATAACAGACCATATCACTCATAATATAACCGATGTCATCAGATAATTGAAGCTTCGCAGGGTTGAGTCTGGATGGTAACCAGTTTGTGATATTTGTCATAGGGTTGTGGGGCTCCACGCAAACATCAATTGCTGTACCTTAGTTTTGTTTTCTAGGTTCCCTGCCTTCGCAAACCCGTACTGATCAGTGTGGTAAAGTAGGGTTAAATACCCCCGCCCCCCCCCATGATCTCCGTGGCATGGGGAGACCCTCATCCAGCAGTGGATTTACCGTGGCTGCTGATGATGTAAAGGGTCTCCTCTACTTACAAACATTTGACTTAGGGGCCATCCATTTAGTACGTACGCGGACTTTTTACACCCCCCCCCCACCTGCGTACGTACGCTTGACGCACCCCCCCCCCCGAATCCTATAGAACGGCTTATATTTAATCCCCACAGAAACGATCAAGGATGAATAATATTAACGTGTTTAAGCAAACAGATAGTCCACCACCGGCTGCATTATTATTATCGAGGCTTCACCCCCCTCCCCCCGTTTCCTATGCGTACGTACATTGTCAGTAGACCCCCCCCCCCCCCCATACGCAAGCGTATGCATTTGGGTTACCCCCTCCATTCGTACATACTAAATGGATGGCCTTTAGGAACTTTCAGAGATATGAATAAACCTCTCCGTATGCCCAGTTGCCTGTTTGGACCGAGATTCGTAAATTCAACCACCCCGCAATAGATGTCTGTCGTGGCATCTACTTCTGCAGAACATGACGAAGCAGTGGTATCTACATCTACAGGAGATTATGCAACTTTTAAAGCCATTCCCCGTGTTTAGTGTACATGCCGTACAACATGTTTGGAATCGACGGGAGTAACGTTTGACCTGCGAACAAATCGACTTACGGACAGACCTCGGGAACCTAGCTCGTTCGTCATTAAATGAGTCCCTGCACATGTTTTGTTTGCTTATTAGACTGATTCCCACTTTACAAATGTTTTTTTTTTACCACATGGACAGAATAACATAGGGTGAGTTTACGGAGACAGATTTGATCCCCATTTTGGAATGAGGAATTTTTAAGACTAGCTAAGGAACAATAATGGAAACAACATCCTCCCATTACTTGTTTACGTGAAGGTTGTCTAAAATTTGACTTTAGTAGGGTACTTTGTCTTATGGTTTAGTAGTTAAGTGGTCATACAGCGGTTTAGTATTCATGGCTTTTTTCTAGAAACATCCGGCTGCATAAAGCACTCTTAGAGTGCCACCGATAAGCGCGGTTGGATACGTACGGTGCGAAATAAGTTCAGCATACTGTACGGACATTAAATACACTTATAAACGGTCTCATTCAAATTTCGTTGAGGATAGAAACCCCTGTTTGTATCAAGAGGTGACATTAATTTCATGGTGTCTATTGCTCATTGCAATTTGAATCACATGGACTGTGTTTAAAAATAAGTGTTTCTGATT